AAAAATATCTGTGGCAATGGGCTTAGAGGATTGCCCATTATAAGTCCTGCACTGTTATTTGTATATATTTGATTATTAAAATCAAAGTAGTCCTGATTTATGCAAACTTCAAGAAGATGTAAAATTTCAGATGTAATTATTGGATTTGTACTATTTTGGTCTAAAAGGTTTTTTACTAGAATAAAAGTTTCTGTAAGAGGGATACTAGGAAAAAGATTTTTTACGTCAAATTTTTACATTTATTACCTAACAACTCCAGATTAATTTCATTTCATGTAAAAAATCTTTTTCCTAGTATCCCTCCTACAGAAACTTTTATTCTAGTAAAAAAATTTTTAGACCAAAACAGTACAAATCCAACAATTACATCTTCTTGAAGTTTGCATAAACGAGGACTACTTTGATTTTATTAATCAAATATATGCAAATAAAAGTGCAGGACTTATAATGGGCAATCCTCTAAGCCCATTGCTATCAGATATTTTTATGGATCATCTAGAGACAAAGATTTCAAAACATCCCGTATTTAAACAGTTTATATATTGGTGGAGATACGTAGACGACTTCCTGGTATGTTTCACAGGAACTAACAGGCAACTCGATCAATTTTTATCGTATATTAATTCACTTCATAGTTATATTGAATTTACAATAAAAACAGAACAAAATCAATCCATAAATTTTTTCGATTTTAAAATTATCAGACTTAAAAAAAACAAACATGACTTCTCCATATTTCATAAACCTACCCATACTGACACGACTATACACAATTCATCATCCCATCCAACACAACATAAACTGGTAGCATATCACAGTATGATACATCGATTAACAGAAATTCCGATGTCAAAATACAACTTTGAGACATAATTAAATATCATTAAGCAAATAGCTAATGACGATATTTCAAAACTCCACTGACTATTCACTACCAACTTGAATCTGTTCAATTTTTTAGTTTTGCGTCTTTATCGTTACAAAAAATATCGGTGTGATCTTTCACTAACAAATGACTACACAAATCACATATTTGCTTTAGTGTAGTTCCCAATTACATGGCCAAACTTCGAGCATTATAGATTTTAGTTAGCTCGTTGTAACCGCTTATTAGTCTTGTACTTGCTACAACGGTATCAAAGGGTATAGGGGATAGGATATGTCAAAAAAAGGTAATTTTTTCTTCTCGATATGTCGACGCATTTCAATTAGTAATCTAGAACATTCCCTTATTTTATTAGAGCAAGCGACCAAAATTTAAGCGCGCTTATGTTTCTGTGGTTGAAAATTTCTGTGGTTGGAAAACTTGTTTAATTTATTTTCATATTAATTATGTTAAAAATTGTATTACAACATTGAGTTTGTTAATTTTAAATGTAGATATTTTTCGGAATAAACATGTTTCAAACGAATGACCATATTATTTACTGTGAGGCACTGTAACTCGTTAGCAAGTTCCAATAAAATCCTCACTAATGTTCGGGGTACCTTGGCCATAACATCATTGTTTGATTTACTGAAGACAATACAGTAATAGTAATTGAAATTATAATCTTAATTAACATTAGATATTTTTAAATTTACCTTTTTAATCCTGTCACTTCTGACATATTTATAAAAGTATTTAAATAGGTAAACTGTGTAATGTGTATGATCACACTATAATGAGAAATGAGACAGAGTTCGACCAGCTTATTAATCGCCGAAAAAAAGTCATAGAACTCGGGAAACCACCGGACAAAAGCGATTACGCATTAATAATCTTTATCAATACCAACACTATTAAAGAATAACAGGGAAGGTAAAACACAACAAAACGTTGCGAATATTATAAAGAGAAACCTAACGACAGTACAATACATAATAAAAAGACGAAAAGAAAGAGTGCAAATAAATTTCAAACTAAAAATACGAAAAAGTTAAGTATGAATCATAATATGTCGCGATCACTATAATAACACGATAAATTTGGCAACATCTATAGAGGCGGAACCGCACTTGCAACATCATATAAAATATGCAAATGAGACCAAAGATTACGTTCAGTGTATGGAGGCAAACAAGAACTACACAAATAACATAACTGTATAAAATTAGGTTAATAAATATTTACCCCTCTTTCTTTGCCTTTATAATATACATCAAAATAAGGTTAATGATGTATTATATGTGCATATACTACCTTTTGGTGGAGCGAGGGACGTCTGTTGTATGTACGGAGGCAAAAACGATACAAATGCACATATATATATATATATATATATATATATATATATATATATATATATATATATATATATATACAGCGTGGTGAATGGTCAAACGGGCCATAGGAAACTCAATGAGAAATTCTAAATTGTTGAATTCCTGCTTCCCTAATTATTTTACACCAAAAGTCATGGGAAACTATTTGTAGAGGACTCAAATATGTATCAAAAACAATTGTTAAAATTGTTCTACGACTTAAACGTATTCCAAAATTTTGCTAAAATATAATACATTTTTCAGGCCACCCCTAAAAGTCAGGCCAGACGCCGTGAAAAGAATGTGTATTACTTGTTGCGTTTTGTGATATTGACGTTTCTAATATTTGACAATATTTAAATCAAGTATATTATATTTATCTATGATTTAAATGGCCAAAATTTTGTGATTTATTATTTAAAAGACAAATTAAGTTGATTAAAAAATGTACTCAGTTAAGGAGAAAAGAGCAATAATAAAGATGTCTTATTCATGTTTTATTATAACATTTGTTATAGTTTTATGTTTAGAAATAATCGTATATTATTATTAGGAATAAAAATCACAGTAACAGTATATTGGAATTCATTGAATTGTTGTATAACTTAACTTAACATGGAATTAAATTTTAGTGTATTAAAATATCTTACTTTAAATAAAGATCCGGTAGTGACAGGAAAAGGTTCGCGCTATTGCCTGAATACAACATTATGCGATTTTTCGTCAACTGAGTACATTTCATTATATTGATCGATTTGTAAACAATTGTTTACAAAGTAATATTGTTCAGTAGTAGTAGTATTTAGTAAAATTTATTGTTTATAATTTAATCATAAAATAAAAAAAATTGACAATTCAAATTGTCAAACATCTGACATCGATATGATAAATGGATAGAACACACACTTTTCAATATATTCTTGTATTACGTGTGGCCTAACTTTTAGGGGTGGTCTGAAAAATCTATTATATTTTTGCAAAATTTTGAAGTACATTTGATTCGTAGAACGGTTTTAACATTTGTTTTTAATTTAGAATTTAGTCCTCTACAAATAGTTTTTTATGACTTTTGATCTAAAATAATTAGGGAAGCAGCAATTCAACAATTTAAAATTTCCCGTTGAGTTTCCTATGGCCTGTTCGACGATTCACCACCCGGTATATATAATATAATAATATAATAATATATTGTTTATCTTACTGTTTATAGGATGATTGATTTATTGTCTATATTATGAATGTATTACCATAGCTATTTTTTAGGTGAAATTATTTAAAAAATGGTTTATACATTGGACTGCTGACTAAAAACAAAACTTTGTTGGACTTGGACTTGGACAGACACAAAAGAACTTGGACTTGCTGATAAGGGAATAGTATTTAATGTGATATTTTTCTAGAAGAAGCAGGTAACTGATTGCCATGAATGAAAAGTAGCACCATACCTATATTTGAACCATAATTTATTCTGTGATGGGAAACACGAAAAAGTGAATTCTAAAGCAGTGAACGGGAAGGAATATGTAGAACAAATTGGCTGAAGCAATTCAGGATATTGGATTATTAATCTTAAAAATAATGATTAAAGTCAAAGTTAACTCTTCTGATAAGAAAAAAAAACCAATATTTAAGAAATTGATCACATCAGAATAAGAATATGGTATAGGCAGTTTAAAAGAACAGTATTTCAGAAATCTTTGAACTCTCTCTAACTTTTTGATACATGCATTTGCATAGCTTTGTTGCATATACGATCTATTTGCAAATTAAAAGACAAATTTCCATAAAAAACCATACTTAGATCTGTAACATTATTGACTCTCCGGATCAAAATATTTGCTAAATTATAATTAAATACCATAGACTCAAAAGATCTATAAAACTGGATCACCCGATATTTTTTTTATTTTATATTTTAGTTTGATGGCCTTGGCCGAAGGTCACCCGATATTTAAATATTTATATATATATATATATATATATATATATATATATATATATATATATATATATATGCATGGGACCAAATATGAAAAACGTCCTTTTTATTGTAATAATTGTAATATATATTGGAAGTTAATTATTGAAAAAAATTATTATTCAACATAAATAAACAAAGTTAGGTTAGAATTGACATGTATGGTTGTCCGATATTGATTACTCGATTACCGCAAGGCCGAGATAACCAACAAAAAAAAGAAGATGTATTTGGTGACTTTTCTAGTAACTTTCTTGGGTGTGAATCTGTCTTTTTGGTTTACTCCTCCTGGTTAAAAAACAGAGTATAGGTAAAAATCACAAACTAAAGATGTGCCATATTGGACGAGCCGGCATACCAGTTAAGAAAATACCAGGTAATAAAGTGATAAAATAAATATAAATTCTAAGGAACAATGATAGTTCGGCACTTCTGTTTAAACCTGAATCTTGCTGTGTATTCATACATAAAGCATGCACTATATGACAGTTTTTCCGAAAATATACAAAAACACTATTTTTTTAATAAAATAAGAAAAAAATCCAAATTATGCTGCTTGTATAAATGCTCGTAAATGATTATGATATATGAAATATATGTAGTTGCTGAAATGCTATCGTAACATTAATGTACCTACTCTTTACTAAAAAAAATAAATGTTGTTGCAAAAACGATATGTCTATTAATGCCTTAAAGTACTAATTTCTTCGGCAAAAAGCCATCAAATAATAGAGAAATGTCAAAAATCATAAAATTAAACATACAAACTAATACATACCATGTTGCTTTGCCATATGTATCTGCATTACCCTCTTATCTTTGTACTCTTTATCACACTCGCTACACTGAAACTCCCGTACGTTAGAATGTGACCTCATGTGCCGTTGTAACACACATTTGTCAGCAAATTTTCTACTGCACAAATCGCATTCAAATTTCTTCTCTCCCGTATGACGTCGCATGTGGCAATCGTAGTTGGATTTGATGGGGAACCTTTTGTTGCAATAGTCGCACAAGTATTTCCAGAGTATCGGATCGGTGTGGACTACAAGTTTGTGAGATCTACAGAAAAAAGAAAAGACGATGAATAGGAATTGTTTTTACTATTATAATAGGGTTGAAATTAAATTCCTACCTACACAATGACATTAAATATTCCATTGTACCGGCGAGCAAAGATACTATTTCTTAAACGTAGACTGAACACTGAATTATATTTTTGAGGTATTTGCAAGTTTGCAACAGAAATAATCTTCTTCTTCTTCAGCCTTCATTTATCCATTGTTGGAAGTAGGCCTCCTCCAATTACTTCCACGCTTCCCTATCTTCTGCAATTCTCATCCACTGCTTTCCAGCTACAGGTGTTATATCGTCTATCCATCTCTTTTTGGGTCTTCCCACGCTTCTTTTTGTTTCTCCAGGTCTCCAGAATGTCACTTTATGAGATCAACTGTTGGTGTATTGTCTTGCTACATGTCCTACCCATTGCCATCTCAATGTCGCTATTTTTCCCATGATGTCGGTTACGTTAGTTCTTCGACGTATTTCGGTGTTAGGAATTTTGTCTCTGAGGCTTATATTTAACATCTCTCCATGGCCCAATGAGTTACTCTGAATTGTTCTTCCATTTTTTTTGTTATTGCCATAGTTTCCAATCCATATGTTGCAACTGATAATATACAAGTGCCATAGGTTTTTCGTTAAGTGTATTGGGATTTTTCTCTCTTTTAAAAGGAAGCTCAACTTACCAAAAACAGCCCATGACAATTGTGTCCTTTATTTTATCTTCTCCTGGTGTTTTCCCATTTTTCATTTGTTTTAGGGCGGCTCTAATTTCTGATGTTATTATTTCAGGGAGATCCTCTGAGCCCACATTTAAGATATGTTTTGTTGGTATACCGGGGTTTGGAATAGTAGAAGTATACAGCTTCTCATAAAATTTTCGGATTTCTCTAACGATCTCTTCCTTATGCGAGCACAATGTCCCAGTGTCGTCTTTTATCTTTATTATTTTATTCCTACCAGTGGATTTACATGTTTTTAGTACTTACATGTTCTTATTGTTCTCTATGGTTTCAAGAATCTGGTTTGTTCTATAAGCTCTGAGGTATTTTCAAATATTTTTCTTAACGCTTCTGTTAAGCGCTTTATCTTCTTCTGCTAGTGCCTATCCTCTATGGATGTTGGCTACCACAATGGCCCATCGTCTTTTATTAGCAGTTGTTCGAAATAGGTCTGTGGTGGTCATACCTGTCCACTATCTCAAATTCTTAAGCCAGGATATTCGGCGGCGTCCTGGTCCTCTATTTCCTTCTATTTTCCCTTCTAATATCAATAGTAGGATGTTATATTTATTTTAATTTCTCACTATATGTCCTAAGTATGCTAACTTTATCTCTTTAATGGATTTCAAGAGTTCAGGTTCTTTTTGTAAACGTTGCATTACTGCGTTGTTAGTTATTATCATGTACATATGATATTCTGAGCATGCGACGATAGCACCACACTTCTAAAGACTGCAACCGTCTGCAAGACGCATCAGTGAGTGTCCATGCCTTTGCTCCATACATAAGAACAGAAAACACATTAGAGAAAGAACGGGAATATAAGTTCAAGGTTAAATTGTAGAGAACTTTCTTCATCTGTTGGAAGGCAATCCTTGGTTTTTCGATCCTACATTTAATCTCGTATGCGTGATCCCAGCTGTGTGTGATGTTGCATCCTAGGTATGTTATTTTTCCTGTTCTATCCAATACCTCATTGTCTACCATAAACTTTGCATCTATATCTTGGTTTTTGCTTATGATCATAATTTTCGTCTTATTATTAAGTTTCATTCCATATTTTCTACCGATGTTAACTACTTGATCTATCAGTCTTTGTAATCCTTCAACACTATCCGCAATAAGGACAGTGTCGTCTGCATATCTTAGATTATTTATTACTTCATCGTTAACAATCACGCCATCAGTCTTTTCTCCCAAAGCTTCTCGATGTTCAGAGTACGCATTAAACAGCAAAAGCGAGAGTATGCAACCTTGTACTCCTTTTTGTATTGGGACTTCATCGGATAATTGATTGTCTACTCGAATCTTGGCTACTTGTTTCCAATAGAGATTGGCTATTATTCTTATATCCTTGTCATCGATGTTTGCGATTCGCAAAGTTTCAATAAGCCTGTCATGATGGACTTTGTCAAATGCCTTTTCGAAGTCAATGAAACAGGCAAAGACATCTGTATTAATATCTCTTGCTCGTTGCATCAATACTTGTAGGCTAAAAATTGCTTCTCTTGTGCCAAGACCACTGCGAAATCCAAATTTTACATCAGCAATACCCTCCTCCAATTTCTTGTATATGCGAGCATGGATAATGTTTTGGAGAATATTTTGAGTGAGTGATTTATGAGGCTAATGATTCGGTGTTCTTCACATTTCTTAGTATTTGCTTTTTTGGCAGTAGTATAAATATGGACATGTACCAATCTTTTGGTAAAGTTCCTGTTTCATATATACGGTTAAATAATTATGTCATAATGTCAAGTTGATTGTCTTCTATCAATTTCAATATCTCTCAGCATATATTCCATCAGGTATTGGCGTTTTGTTGTTTTTTATAGGACTTATAGCAGATCTTACTTCTGATTTTGTTATTGTTTGTCCATTCTCGACGTTGTCGCAGAGCGCTTTATAGTCCGGGTTATCTCTGTTTGTTCTTCTTCTTTTCTCTATCTGTTCTAGAGTCTCGGGTTTTAGTTTAGCTTTTTTTTTTGTTTTCTTATTCTGCAACAGAAGTTTCTTAGTGACTGTTTGTATGTCTTTAGTTATTTTCTCAGCTAGTTCATCTATATTCTTGTGCTCAAAGGTATTTGATACTAGTTTCCGTGCTAATTCCTCTTAGTATTCCTCTTTATTACTGGCTAGGATGTCTGCCGTCGGTAAAGGGTTAGTTGTTAATAGTTTGTGTCTTTCTCTCTATACGTTAATACGTATATCGGCACGAACTAGTCTATGGTCACTGCCGGTGTTAAATTTGTTCAGCACCTCGATGTTTTTACATATTGATCTATCACTAGAAAGGATAAAATTTATTTTATTCTTAACCTGGCAGTCAGGGCTACGCCATGTCTACTTTCTTTTATTCTGAAATTTCCTATGTAGTCTGAGTCGCCTGGTATTCGCCGCTCTATTTTTGCATTAAAATCTCCGGTGATGATAACACCGGAGAACAGAAGTAATAGTTATTTAAAATAAAAAAATCTAAAAATTAGATTAAATATTATAAATTAAAAAAAGAGCTGGTTTTGCTTTCGTAGTTTGTTGTGGACTGCAGTCATCTCAGAATTAGGTTAAAAATCTCCCTCTATGCGAGAGTAGAACATAGCAACAATAATTAGCAAAAGTTGAATTATTACTTTAAACAGCCGCGTAGCTTTAAAAATTAAATACAAATTAATATTTCTATTATTAAAATTCCAAAGAACAACGTTAGTGACGTAACTTCATCTATTTTTAAACTATTATCAACTATTGTACTTACCTAAGATCTTTGTGAGTATTAAAACCTTTATTGCACGTATTACATCCATATTCTCTCATATTGAGATGTTGCTTTTCGTGAATTGTTAAATCAGTCTTCGTAATAAACCCTTTCCCGCAATAGCTGCAAACATTTGACCGTACGGCTTCGTGATACTTAATATGTTGCATCAAATTTGAAGAGGTACCTGCAATGACAGTAAATATTTTATGTCTTTCTTAACAAAATGTATTTATTTACTTACCAAATCGACTCTTACATATCGTACAACCAAAAGGCCTTACGTCTTTTTGAGGAATGTTATGTACTTCTCCACAATGTTTTATAAGTTCGGTGCTGAAGTGAAATTTTTCTGAACATTTCTCACAGTCAAAATCAAGCGTTCGTTTCCGTCGAGATGAAGAAGCTCGCTTTTCTAAAAAAATATTTGGTATGTAAAGTTTTTAATAATAATTAATACATCTATTTTTTTTTTCTCTTTTAATTCTTAACCAAAGAAATTGTTACCCTTTTCAAATGGTACGGTAGCTGCATAGCACACCTAGTAAAAGTCTCAAACAACTAACTCTTCATATAAAATGTTCTGTGTCAAACTCAAAATTCCAATCTAACCTAATATTTTTAAATATGTATATGAAAACATATTTCACCACATCAACACGTGAAATATTCGAGAATGGAGTACGAAAATACTCAACAAAATATAAACTTCGTACCATGTGTACGATGGGTTAAACGAGGAGTGGCCAATTCAAATCCGGTAAAACTGCAATTGTCGAAAAACGAGCTGGCTCAAATAATTAATGACACTAAGATTAAATTACAAGAATCCAATGAAAATGAAGATGAGCCAATGGAAGAAGGTGAAGCGTCTCAAGCAGATGAGTTTGCCTTAGAGAATTACGATAAAGAGGACGAAAATCAGGATACTGCAAATGCTTTAGGAATTGGATCATTGGCAGAACTTGATAATGATGCTGTGGACAACTTTTCTGGTATGTACTTAAATTAGTTGATATATTAATTAAAAAATATATTTATATTGATTATAAATTCAAAATCAAAGTTATACATGGTTGTTTACTAATCCTACATTACCAACAATAACATATTTCTAGTATTAGTTATAAATCCTTAATATTCATGTTTCAGCTACATATGTGTAATATAATGATAATGTGCATTATATTACACATATGCAGCTCTGAAATTACTAATAATTATATATTTTGTTATAGAGTCAGATGATTCTGAAAAAGAAGATGATAAAATCAAACTATCAGACAATCTCATATTAGTAGGACATGTAGAAGGAGATGCAAGTCTATTGGAAGTCTACATATACAATGAACAAGAAGAGTCATTGTATGTCCATCATGATATTTTGTTATCATCATTTCCTCTGTGTTTAGAACCACTAAACTATGAACCAAAGATGCCCAAAGGAAATTACTGTGCAGTGGGATCAATGTCACCTGTTATAGAGGTCTGGGATGTAGATATTATGAATGTTATTGAACCTTCCTTTACCTTAGGAAGGCCTGCTAGTAAAAAGAAGAACAAGGAACATATAGGTATATATAATTTAGGCTGTATAGAAAATTGACCGTCTTTGTCATCTGTTGAAAGATGAAAGTAAAAATTTGTTGAAAGATGTTTAATTGTTTTTCACAATATTTTTCATTATGTGTTAAGATAATAAAGAATATTACATATAATAAATACTTTTTGTGCTGTTATATTACTATATTGCTTATATTTTAGGTCATACTGATGCAGTACTTTCATTAGCTTGGAACAAAACCTTTGAACATGTGTTAGCTAGTGGATCTGTAGATCAAACAATACACCTGTGGGATATGGAAATCAAAAAACCAAGTACAACCATTAAATCCTTTCAAGAAAAAGTTCAATGTCTCGAATGGCATCCTCTAGAGGCACAAACACTTTTAGGTGGAGGTTAGTATTGATTTTCCTAATTTTTTAGTCAAAAAACTTTTTGGTTCGCACACTATATAAAAATTATTCTGAGACAGGTAAATCAATACAATGGGTGTTTAAAGTCCAAAAACACCATTACCTCACCAAAATTTAACATTTAAAACAAAAAAACACATTGAGAGCTATTTTATCAAAACCAAACCTATTAACGAACAAGAACAGACAAAGGATTATATTTATAAAATACCTTGTGAATTCCAACATTTAGATGAAACAGTCAAGACTGTTAAATGCTAGAATAAGTGAACATTAATCTTATATCAAATTGTAGATACATTTAAAGAATCCCAGATATTTAAACACACATGGAAAAATGAACACTCAATGGAATGCTTCATGTACATTACTGAAAAAACAGTATAAAAAGAAAAATCAAAGAAACATGCTTATCATGAGTTCTTTCCTAGGTTTTTCTCATGATTTACAATGAGACAAATCATATGTTATGTTTCTGGTGGGTTAAAATGTATGTTATCTTGTGTAGTTCATGAGTGAACTAGTTCAAAGATCCAGCTTCGATATGTGAACTAAATGAACTAATTCGCCAGAGACTACTTAATCTCAATCATTTATTTCTCAGAGATCCGCATTTCATTTGTGGTTCAAGAGCAGTTCAGTTTTAATTTTCAAGTCTATACACCACAAACGACAAGTATGAATGGAGGGGCTGGAGCAGTTGGGAGAGTGTGACTTTACTAAAGAACTATGGCCTATGTAGATTAATGTTGATGACTGCTGGGTGGGTGAGCGCTGAATCTATGCTGTGAAATCATATATTTTATGTTGAACTTTAAACAAAAAGAATAAATTTTGTAATAAAATATTTTTAAAGTTAATTTAAATTAAAATAAACTGCTTATGTACAAATGATAAATCAATATTATGTTTTGCTTATATGTAAATTAATCTTCCCTATAACTCTTGTGTTAATGAACTAGTGAACTTAAAGAGCAACCTAGTTGACTCCTCATATTTGAACTAAACTGAGCACTCTTTATGATGAACTATTATGCTCAACACTAATGTATATTTCTGAACTGGCACTGATGCAAATAAAATAAAATTATTAGAGTTTTGTGTATCAAATTTTGTATTTTGTATGTAAATCAAGCTTTTAAATTTTTTTTATTGTTCTTAAATGAAGCATAGATTGTTTTAGTACACTATTAAATCTTAGAAATAAGCAAAATATTTCATTTCAGGTTGTGACAAATCTGCAAGAGTATTTGATGGCAGAACTCCCGAAACCCACCAAACTTGGCTACTTGATGGAGAAGCTGAAAGGCTTTGCTGGAACCCCTTAGAACCTTTCACATTTTTAGCAGGTACAAGCAGTGGGTCTGTACAATGTTTTGACTGTAGAAAAGGACAGCTATGGTCTGTTAAAGCACACAGCAAGGAAGTTACTGGGTTAGTACTTAGCAAACAATGTCAAGGATTGCTGATTACTTCTTCTACAGATGAAACAGTTAAAATTTGGGACTTGGCTACATTAGAAGCTGAACCTAAGCTTGTTCATGAAAAGGAGTTTAATATGGGAAATATTCACTGTTTAGATTTATGTCCAGACTTGCCGTTTGTTATATCTGTAGGTGGAGATAAGAAGTCAAATAACTTTAGTGTTTTTGATGTACAGAATGTTGATGTTGTTAAACACACATTTGGACCACGAGGATTGGTACAGCTAGTTCCAGATACAGAAGAAAATACTAATACATAATTTTATTGGTTAATAAAGTTTTTATTTTATCTATTTGTAATAATTTCATTGCTAAACCTAACTATATGTGGTCTTAAAAGTATCTGCATCTCCATCAGATACATACTTCACTTTATTTACCACGTGGGTGCTAGATAAAGTTATAGACAATTTGAACACTAATATTGACTAGCGCCTAGAGACTGACCCACTATTCTGTTCAGACTTGCGCAGTTAATTTGTATCCATTTCCGAATGTGTCAATGAGGTTTATGTGTATTGTTGGTTGAGAACATTTTTTTTTATAAATTAATAATATAATTAGAATACTTCAATCTATCTATTTAACCCGTTTGAGGCGCTAAACGGTGAGAATTCCTTATCATGGAAGTTTCGGATGGATATAATATTGGCAGAAAATGAAGTATTAGAGTGTGTAAAAGGCGAAACAATCAACAGGTTTAAGCGAGAACGAGATGAAAAAATTCCAAAAAATGAACAATAAAGCCAAATCAATAATTGTTCAATGTGTTTCCGATGCACAATTAGAGATATTGCGGGACAAAAAACAGGCATACCATATGTAGAAAAGTTTAGAAGCAAAATATGAGAAAAAGGGGCTACCAGGACAACTGTTCCTAAAAAGAATGTTGCTGTCCATGAAATTGAAAGAGAGTGAGTCATTGGTACGATTTATTGGTGAATTTGAGGAAATCCTGAGATAGTTAAGAGCCACGGAGGTAAAAATTGAAGATCAAGATATAATATGTAATTTGCTGTCAACTTTGCCAAAATCCTATGAAACAGTGGTAACAGTTATCGAAAATATACTGTCTGGTGTACTATCTTATGAAGAGGTAAAGAAAAGGTTATTGAATGAAGAAGAAAAGAGGTGCCTGGGTACAAGAGCAAGTCAAGTAGTTGGTGCTGAACAAGTTGCTTTCAATGTTGACACATCTTGTTATAGGTGTGGAAAAAGAGGCCATTATAAAAGAGAATGTTGAGCAGGAGTATCCACAAGTTATCCAAGAGGGTCTGGCAGATTTACAAATTTTCAGAGTCAAAGAGGTATACAGGATGATTTTAGAGGAAATGGATCAAATAGAGGTAACAATTTCAGATCAAATTTTCAGAGTCAAAGAGGTTTTCAGGATGATCTTAGAGGAAATGGGTCAAATAGAGGTAACAGTTACAGAGGTACAAAAAACTTACAACACAACAGAGGAATGCATAGAAGCAACTTCACCCAACAGCAGGATAGGTCACATGAGATTGATGATATAACTGATGAAGTGTCTAAGGTATGTTTTATAATTAAGTTAGGTAAAAATGAAGTTAATAGTGAAACAGTGAATAACTTAGAATTTGTGATTGATTCAGGATGTACTGATCACTTACTAAATGATAAAAGTATATTTACGGATTTGGTAATTTTGGGTAAACCTATAGATATAGCATTAGCAAAAAATGGTAACTATTTACCTGCAGTAGGTATTGGAAATATTAATGTTTTTAGCAATGTACGTGATCGGCAAGTAGAATGTAAAATTGAAAATGCTTTTTATGTACCACAGTTACGAAAAAATTTACTTTCTGTAAAATGATTGGAAATGTCTCAGATTACTGTAATTTTTGAAAATGGTGTTGTAAAATTAATTAAAAATCGTTGTTTAATAGGATTAGGTAAAAGAAAAGGTTTATACAAAATCAATTTTGAAGTAGTTCAACAAAAATGTTACTCTGTCCAAAATGACCAAAATAAAGAATTTATTTAATGGCATGAAAGGTTTGCACATTTAAATTTTAAATCACTAGAAAAATTAATTAAAAAGAATTTAGTTGATGGAGTAAGCAAAAACATACATATTGGCGGAGTGAATTTTTGTGAACCATGTATACAGGGAAAGTTTTCAAGGTTACCTTTTTCAACCAGGACAAAAAGTAATAGAATTTTAAAAATAATACATTCTGACATGTGCAGGCCAATCAGTCCACAAACAATTGATGGTTGTAAGTATTTTGCCACTTTTATAGATGGTTTTTCAAAATTTACTATGCTTTTTTTAATTAAAAATAAAAGTGAGGTTTTTAGTAAAAACCGACATAGTCGATAAAAAAACCTATTGGAAATAATATTTTGGATACGAAATGGGTATATACTTTTAAACCTTTTGAAGAGAGTAAATATGATAAATATAAGGATCGATTAGTAGTTTGAGGATTTGCACAAGAGAAGGGAACAGATTACGAAGAAATTTATTCTCCAGTAGCGAAAATGACCACCATTAGAACGATCTTGGCTATTGGAAATCAATTTTCATTTTATTTCAGACAACTAGATGTTAAGTCAGTATTCTTAAATGGAATTTTGGAAGAAGAAGAAGTCTATATATTCGCCAGAGGGAGTAGAATGTAAAAATGAAGTATATAGGTTGAATAAAGCATTGTATGGGTTAAAACAATCATCAATATGTTGGAACATAGAAATTAACACTTATTTACTTGAAATTGGATTTATAAGGTCCAAGAATGATTTTTGTTTATGTATTACAAGTAATGATAATTTTGCAACATATCTTTTAATTTATGTAGATGATATAATAGGTTGTGGTCCTGATAATAATTTTATAAACTATATTGTAAAGCAGTTAATGAAAAAGTTTGAATTGAAGGATAAGGGTAAACTTGAATATTTTCTTGGTTTAAAAATAAACTATGATTGAGACAAAGGTATTTTACATATTAGTCAGACAAGATATATTAAACAGATCTTAAGAAAGTTTGGTATGGATTCTTGCAATCCTACTTCTATACCGATAGATCCAAAATTGAATTTGACATGCAGTGATAATAATAATTAAAAAAAAAACCTGTGAGACAATTAATAGGTTGCTTAATGTATCTTATGTTAGGTAGTCGACCTGACATATGTTTCGCTCTTAATTATTTCTCTAGATATCAAGACAAGGCATCGGATGAAATATGGATTCATTTAAAAAGAATATTGAGATATTTAAAGGGGTCTGAAAATGTGGGTTTGGAATATTGTAGGGAAAATGAACAGCCAATGGTAAGTTTTGTAGATTCTGATTGGGGAAGTGATCTAATTGATCGAAAATCAGTTACTGGTTATGTAATAAAGTTATTTGGAAATGTAACATGGGTAACAAGAAAACAAAACTGTATAACTTTATCAACAACTGAAGCTGAACTAGTAGCTTTATGTGCTTGTGTAACAGAAAATTTATTTATGAGAAAATTATTACTTGATTTAAATATTGAAGTGAAACAAATAAAGATTTTTGAAGATAACCAAGGGTGAAAAATCAGGGAAATAACAAGAGAGTGAAGCATATGGATTTAAAGTATCAATTTGTTACTGTACAATTGCAAAACATATTGAAAATATCATTTTATAGTCCTTTACTTTAAAATGTATAATGTATATCTAAATTGTCATTATGTATGAGACAAATAAAATGAAATTGTTAGAAGATTTTTTTTATATTGCAATTTAATCAAACAAAATAATTTTTATTTAATTGTATTTCGATTACTGAATTAGAAGTTGAAACTTCAATAAAGTTCTTTTTTAATTAATATTAATATATTACATTTCGTTTACAACGAAACATTTTTAAAAATTTATAGTTTAAATTTTTTTTTAACTAATTAAAAATCAGTAAGATTAAGGTAATAAAATGGGCAGATATTATAGATTCATCAAACAAGTTGAGATACGAAACTGAACTCACTCTTCTCTATTGAAATTAGGTATAGAACCTTTTAAAGGCATAAGGAGACATGCAGAGAGTGATCTATTCAATAACCACCCTGTATCCTACAATAAGTTAATTAAAACTATAACATGCAATATATCAAAGTTCTGGGAATTTTGTGCAGAATCCAAAAATTTTATAATATAACCAATGTTTCATTTAAAATATTAAAGTTGGTATCATAGTAATTGATATATAAGATCAGTCAACATCCTGTATATAAAATAAATTTTTATGGAAAAAATGCGCAAAAAGTTTTTTTAAAATACTTTTTAAAACCTTTAATTTTGATTTGCTATTATTTACTATTTATTTTAGAGTTATTCTTATAATTTAAACATTATTAAATTTATCAAAGGGGTTAAAGAGATGGATTGATGTAATTATATTATTAATTTATAAAAAAAATGTTCGCAACCAACAACACACATAAACCACAATGACACATTCAGGTATGGATACAAATTAACTGCGCATGTCTGCACAGAATAGTGGGTGGGTCGGGCTCAAGGACACTAAACACAGATAGGATTGATTTTGTCCTATGCTCCAATTCCAATGTAAGAAATGCGTTGGGTTGAGTGTGACGTAGGCGTGGGGATTCGTGGTTGACATTTCTTATTGTTTTATATAGAATAGTTGTGCCCGCTGCCAATTTTTTTGTTGTACTAGCGATTTAACGGCCTTATAAGACTATTTAATTATTGTTTCTATATCAAATTACTTGTATAAACAAAATGGGTGGTAATAGATGTGCCATATATGGTTGTGACAATAATTTTAAGAGTGTGAAACCCAAGATTATGCCTGTTAATTTTTCACAGTTTTCCAAAAGGAAAGGATTTAGTGTCGAAACCTATAAGGGCTTAATGGGTTAACTGATGCAGAAGAGCTGATAATTTTAATCCTGATTCTAGTAGAATATGCTCTGTTCATTTTACAAACAATGACTATGAAAGAGATCTTCAAAATGAATTATTAGGTAAAATGATTAAGCAATAAAATGCCTATAAAATTTTTTAACGTAACTTATTTTAGGTTTACCTACTAAACGCCTTTTAAAGAAAACTGCTGTTTCAACACTTTGTATAAATATACCTTTGACACACCTGTCTCTACTCGTGAAGGTAGATTAGATGTTATAAACAAAAAGCAACTTGTGGCAGAAATTACAAAGGTTGGGTCAAATATTTTGAATATTGCATCTAATCATGAATCTACTATTACTGAATCTGAAATAATTTTTGAACAAGCTGATGACAATATAGATTTAAAGCCTGAAGTAGATTTTGAAGCAAAATACAACGAATTATTAAACAAGTATGAAAGGTAATTTAACATGCAAAGTTAGTAAACATAGTTATAGTTTACCATCATAGGTGCAGCAACTCTCCTTTGAAGGTCTTATTAAGCCTACAGATGAGTGGTCCATAAAAATAAAATTATGGAATAAATATGAAACATATAATGATACCCATAGGAAAAATAATGGAGTTGTTGGAAACATTTCAAAAACGATTTAAAAAAAAGAAAAAGTGTTGCCATATGGGCTTATTAAAAACTTTTGTAGACTTATAACAATAATTAGAATAAGTTATAAAAATTTAAAATCCAGGAAAGCTGAAACTTTGAAGCGAAAAAACTTATCCGTGTTGGATTCAACTAGGTCAAACATTAGAAAATTAAATAAAATTGGTCCATAGGGAATGTTTCTAAAGTTTCCTAGTATTGTATACTGTTTAGTTTTACCTATAATATGTATGTATGTTTACGAAATAATTAGTTCAGTATTGAATAGTTTTATTTATCATCAAATGTTTTTGGATAATAGTTTGTGCTCTGACTACCTGTAAAACACGGATTTATAGATTTTATTTAAAAGAAATATTTACTTTGAGAGTAAACTGACATTTATTAATTTAATTATAACACTAGCAAATGCATTAATTTCGAAAATAAATTTTATTTGTCATGTAAAACAGTAAAACAGATACAGAAACAGTTGCCATTTATGTCTGAATGTCTTAGTAACTGTTAAAAATCTGATTATCTGCCATTTATTTACAAAAACAAAACGTAAATTTTTCGTTTTAATCTCAAATTAGGCTCATCTTCGGTAAAAATTAATAGTAACAATAAGGTCGATAATTGCTCGTCATCCCCACACCTACGTCACAGCCGCGTGTTGCAGTGACAGACAAATTTGGGCGATGGAACTATCCTATGTAGTCAATTGTTCTTGGGTCGGGCTCTAGGCGCTAGTCTAATAATATTGTTATACAAAAAGCAAGATTAAATAAATGATCATAACAAATAGAGGTAAAGCACCAAACAAAATTAGTTATACAATGCTAATATAGAAAAACTAACAATTTTGTTTATAAAATGAAAGCACAATAACAGCATTAATAATACGGGCTTTACACCAACAATAAATTCACGAAGAAATTCATGAATTTATTCATCAATTTCTGTGTCAATAAATTCGTGAATTTCTTGTATGTAAAGTGGTAAAAGTTTCTTTGACTTCAAATAAATTTTTACATCAAGTGTCATTATTTCAGTAGTACCAATGGTTTTATTATTGGATGTTATTTATTTAAATAAATATATATTTGGATTTGGAAATATAATCAGAATCAGAAAACAATATCGTTTTAAAAAGAAAATAGTGATTAAGATTGTACAAAAAATTATGCTGAATTTGGTAAAAAGTAAGAGTTTGAACAAGAGGTAAAAATAAGTGGAAATTACATTGTAATTAGTGAAAACTTCGAAAGGAAGATAATTTCAAATAACTTTAATAAGGACAACATAGCTAAAGAAACAGAAAAAGTGGTAATTTGATTTTTTTATATGAAAGAACAAGAAAATCTAGCATTCATTACATACTAAAAATTAACTGTACTTAGTATAAATGTTAATCAATTCATTGTGACTTTTAAAATGATGAAAGCCTTTATTTAAATACAATACCTGCCTCAACCAAGTAGAAGTAAAGAAGAGAGAAAGCTACAATACTTTTTATAATCTTTTAACCACTATTCATAATATATATTCTCAAGAGATATTTACCTAATATAAATAAATAGCTATGTTTATTGTTAGAATATTGAGATGTGTACAATTCTAATCACAAAGAGATGTAAAGATTGTAAAGAAATGAATACTTAAATTAAATAAAACATGGAAATAACCAGTAATACTTTACCACTAGTTTGTGAGCTGATTCTTTACAATTTTAATGATTTGTCTTTAACATATTACAATTTACTTTATTGAATAGTAGGGTAGGTTAGGACTAAACTAAATAGGTGTGTAAAAATACAATAATTTGTAAATATTGTATAATTTAAATAATAAATGAAGAATCATAATAACAGGAATAAAAGCTAGTTTTAATATTTGTTATATACACAAACAACTATGATTTTTTTCTAAATAAAAACTGTACAGATTTTATCCGTAGGATATGGAATCCTGCACTTTTAAAGGACGATAGTCAATTTAAGAAGAAAACTATGAATAATAAAGTATGACAATAAGAAGAATGAATAAGAAAGAACAAAATTAGTAGCAGGCCAACGGCTTCATGTAGAAAAAGAGCACAACAGAAACATGTCAGAGAAATGGAATTGTTGAAGACATGCATTGAAAAGAAATAGATTTATTAGGTTTAAAAATTAAATTATACAAAGAAAAATTTAATAAAAAATAAAAAAAAAATTCTATGTATATTAATGATTCTTCCGAGGTTTTCCCATAACACAAAAATATTTTATAGGGTTCTCAAACACCTTCAACTTAAAAAAGTTCAATAATGTCTTTATTGAGCAATTCATGTTCAAAATTGTCTCCACTTTGATTTTTTAATTGAATAATTTCAACTATACAGCCACTTTCATTGGCTAAAATTGGAAACTTTCTTCTTCCATACACATTCTGTTAAATATCTGGAATTCATTGTACAAAATCTCAGGATGTCTTAGTGAATTGTTTTAGTGGACAGCCTGAATGTGAATTTAAAATCTAATCAATAATATAGAATTATTCATACCTGGTTAAAAAAAATATATGAGTGGACTCAACGCAAAGTTAATTTAAAAATCCTATCAATAATACAATATTATTCATACCTGGTTCAACAGGAAAATATATCCAGGGAGTATCACCAAATTATCAGAATTTAAAATGTCTAAATTCTTTTTTTTTTAAGTTGCTGTTTTTGAGAATCATGAGCGGAATGTGACAGCCTAGGTACTATATCCCTCCATACTTTTCATTTTGCAATTTTATAATACTTGGCATTTCAAAGAAAACCATCCTTTCCTGTTTCAGAAATCAATAGCATCCATATCTCTTGGAAAACTTTGATTAATCCATTTTTAAACTTTCGACCCTACCAAGTAAGAGATAGGAGTGAAGAAAAAGGTAGAATTATATATTTTATTAAAAAATATTTACTATATATTCTCAAAGCGTTAAATAAATAATATTTGAAAAAAACATGTAAGAAAGGGAAAAGTAAACAATATTTTAATAAAAACTAGAGTTTTCTGCCTCTAAATTTTATGTTTTTCCTAAACAAAATACATAATATTATTTTCTGTCTTTTATTATAGAATAACTTACCTCTTTTCCATAACTATTACTTATTACACTAGTACCCTTATTACTTGACAAACGACTTAAAAATGCAAAGTTCAATTTGGTTCAATAATCAAAAACAAAATAATTATTATCCCTACTTCGCGCCAAATCTACACAGGTTGGTGATACTGAATTCACATCCAATAAATGAGAAAAATAGAACATGTTATATTTCATAAATTTCTTCACGATTCATGAATTTATTCACGGCAAAATTGGATGTCAAATTGTGCTTTACACCGGTCAAATTTGACTTTGAAGCGACTTCACGAATTTCTTCATGAATTTATTGTTGGTGTAAAGCCCATATAAAGAATTAATCACATACAGTGGATCAGACACAAGTAGAATTGTTTGTAACAACAGTAAAATACAATAAACCTATAGCCTCAAAGATGAATTTTGATATTTTAAAATGATCAGTCACCTGTAATGGAACAAGTATATGTGAAGAAGATATTGAATATAACTTACATACCTTTAATTTCTTCTACATCAGGCAACTCCTCTTCATCACTTGTATTATTTGAATTATCATCATTACCATATTTATCTTCACCAGCAGATTCTTCCTTCATCTCTTCATCATTACATACCTGTGAACACACATCTTGTTTCCCTTGCTCAATTTGTTGATTTCTAATTGTCTCTGATTTTAAACACGTTTCACGAAAATTGTACACGATACTCAATAAATTGGTACAAGGTTCGCAAATTTGATAGTTAACAGTCCAATGCTAAAATGAAATTTGGCTTTGTATTCAAAATATTTAAGGAGTCCTGGGTTACTTACAATTTCTGGAATACTGAGAATAAGTTTCGAGAATAGGCTTATTTGATTTTCATCTTGTTTTGATAATTTATTTAAACCTAGGAAATTGTTCATACAAACACAACAACTATTTTCTAGCGAGTTCATATTGTTTATTAAATCTAGAACAAAAACAAAAACCTAACCTCACTTGTGTAAAACATAGTCACAGTATACTATCTGTGACATAGTACATACCCACGGTTCCTAGACTTACTACGGTTGCCTCTTCAGCCTAACCAATGAACATTAAGCCGGATTGTACTCCTGTGACGTAATTTGAATCTTAACATTCAGCCCTGTGATTGGATGGATGTATCAAAACAAAAATGTTTTATAAATAAAGTAGGTTGATTTCATGTAATCAAATGAACTATTTTACAATAAAGCCAAGTTAAAGTTATTTATTTATGTTAATATATAATAAAGTACTTACATATGTCAAAAAATAGTATAAAATAAAAATTAACATATTAAAAACATAAGGTATAATAATGCATATATACGTTAAGGCAAACATTACACAGAATATTATATTCTGGGTTCCCAGGTATACACAAAATAGAATTCATCATCATCAATCCACAAGCCAGTTCGAAACATTAAAGTTAAAATTTAGGAATTCATCACTTGAAAACTTCTTCCCCTTCAACCAATGGACTCTTTGCTTCACCACAATACTCAAAGATATCATTAAGGTTAATTTCCATTATTAAATGATACAAATAACTCGTCTTAAACCAAACTAAACATGGAAAAGCAATGGTAAATATTCGAATGTTATGTTTGTTTTTGTTTACACCATTTATATCGGCCATGACACTGCAATCGACCTGCCCTCTACATTCAGTTTCAATCGCGAATAAATGGGTTTTGTATTCTTGTGTACTCCTGTGACGTAACTCAAGCATCCCCACCCCAGTCGGAAGAGGCAACCGGAGTAAGTCTACGAACCGTGGTACATACCCCTCATACATTGGGTATGTATTGTCACAGAATAATAAACATACAGAATGCCCACTCTCCACGGAAAATTAAGTACGCGCATCTCCTTCGCGCAGACGTTCCGCCATGTTTTACGAGGAGTTTAAAGGGAACCAGTGTTGTTTATGTGGTGTGCATGGAAAAAAAACCAGGTTTATTTGACTTACGGCAATCATAGACATACTATACAATTATATTAACAGTTTTAAATATAATAACATAAATATAATATAATTAAACATAAATGTAAACAATTGCATAACCTCACAAATCATATGTTTGTGTCCTCCTAAAACATGGCGCGCGTGCTGAAAAACTTCAAAGGCGGCATCTGAGAGTGGCCTTTCTGGTTGTTTATTATTCTGTGGTATTGTGCTCTTGTAAAATATCAAATTATGTCAAAGTCAAAACTTTCAAATTTAATTAGTGACAGATGGACAGAGTCCGAACTGTCTAGTGATTTTAGTAATTATTTTTTTGCGAAGTTAGTTTCTTTTTGACAGACTCGAAGTTGCTGGAAATGGACCGCAGGAGTGTGACGTCATGACTGTCAGATTGACATTATTACTTTCCAAACAAATGTTGAAATGTCAAATCTCAAGACTTTTTAATTTCTATAAAGTTAACATTTTGCTTCCTCTGCTGCATTTTCTTGTAAGCATAGTGTTTTTTACGATAATACCATAATAATTCAGAGTTCTATTTCTATGAAATATAGGTTAAAACTTTAAATAAAGAAATTGTAACCTTACTTTATTGATACATGTATTTTATTGCTATAAGCATAAAATAATGTGCGTTATTATTTACACAACCTTGTAAAATTGTTGTAGTAACTATTAGAATACTTAAATATTGCAATAAGTGGAAAGATTCTATAAAATAAATGAAAAAATAACGAAAAATACAAATTATCCACACTAAACCAGGTTTGTTTGGAAAGTGAAACTGACGTATGTCAATACAATCTACGTCATCACTCCTGTGGTCCATTACTATACAACCACAGTATGTTGTTCACAGATCACCTGTTATTAGTGGTCTGTGATGTTGTTGTCTATGCTGTACTTACTTTATCGTGTCCGGACATGTCATTCATAAAATTTCGGCCCAGTATCGGGCTACGTCGGTTCCATCTTTGTTGGCGAGCCACAAATCTTCAAGGGTACATCGATGAGGACAGTTTCTGCATGTAAGAAGATGTTCCATATTCTGTGTTTCTCCACAGTCACAGTTCACATCATCTTGGTTTATTTTTCCCCATTTTGCCATGTTTGATTTTACTGTAGCAACCCCCGTTCTTAACCTATTCAAGGTTTTCCACGTTTTAAAGTCTAGGGTCTGGCCGGTGCATTGAACCTGGGGAAGTGGAAAATACTCAGGCGGTTCATCCTTCACTGTTCCAAGGAAGCTTTTCCTAGATTTTAGTCGCTTTCGTGGTGTTCGAGCTTTGTATAGGGCATGCCGATCGTCCGCGATCTGTTTAATTTTCTCTATGTGTTCTGCAGCGCCTCTGCGTGTTGAGGGTTCTGCAAAACCCGCTGCTCTATATAGATTTGAAAGTGGCGTTGGTTTCATGCACCCCGTTACTATCCTGCATGTCTCATTTAGCGCAGTATCAACTTGTTTGGTGTGGGCAGATCTGCTCCAAACGGGGCATGCATATTCAGCAGTTGAGAAACACAGTGCCTGTGCCGTTGTTCTTAAAACGCCAGGACGTGCGCCCCATTTACTTCCCGTTAGCTTTCTGAGTATGCTGTTCCTAGTTGTTACTTTCCCTCTTGTTTTTATGCAATGTTGTCTGTAGGTGAGGGACCGGTCCAGAGTTACTCCAAGATATATAGGTTGGTTTGTGTGTTCTAATGTATTACCATTCCACACAATTTGGAGTTTTCGCTTGGCTTCCTTTGTGCGAAGGTGGAAAGCGCAGACTTGGGTTTTAGAGGGATTGGGTCTCAGAGAATTCTGCAGGTAGTACGCTGTCATTGTTTTTAAGGCAGTTTCGAGTTTCTCCTCCACTTCTTCAAAACTATTTCCTTGAGCACATATTGCAAGATCGTCAGCATAGAGGAAGTGCTTGGTTTCGGTCGGAGTAGGTTGGTCGTTTGTGTATATATTGAAGAGCATTGGTGCTAAAACACTTCCCTGTGGGAGGCCGTTTTTTTGAACTCTCCACCTACTTACTTTACCCTCTAGCATAACGAAAAAACGTCTATTTTGCAGTAAGGAATATACGACCTTTCCCAGATGGTGGTCATTGAGAGTATCGTATAATTTGCGGAGCAATGTTTTGTGCCTTACTGTGTCATAGGCTGCTGTCAGATCTACAAATATCTATGCTGTGATACAACCAAGCATACGTGCTCTTAGTCAATATTAATGTAAACAAAAGTAAATAAAATAGAACTTTGCCGACAATCAATATTTATTTATTTGCACCGTATAATATATTGATAACAAATAATAAAATTATTTATTGTACAAAATAAAAAAAGTGGGAATAAATTCTACAAAATTAAAAAGTCAAAGTGAGGTTAAATAAGACACAGCAAGTTCCTTAAGTTGTGACTAGGTTGGAATCAATGATTAAAGAATTAAAGATTAACAGTTCATTGGATAGCATTAACATAAACTGTTGTTTTATTATCTTCGAGTGACGTATCTGCCTACTCCTCAGTGTCACTCGACACTAAGGAGTAGGCAGATTGAGACCTCAGTGCCGAGAGACAGTTCTTGTATTTATAATACAGAACACGATACTGGTACGTGTCGAGTGAGGGGAGTAGGCAGATTGAGACCCCGAACTCAAACCGAACCGTATCCCTCTTGATAATAGCTCCAAAACGGGAGCCGAAACGTCGAGCATTAAATTCTCAACGCGGTTCTTCCCGAGAACCTAGTGATTTTCATTCATCTGACCGCGGAAATCTATCCGAACATATATATATATATATATATATATATATATATATATATATATATATATATATATATATATATATATATACATATATATATATATATATATATATATATATATATATATATATATATATATATATATATATATATATATATATATCGCTCAATTAGTTTTAAAGCATCTAGAGGAAATTGTTTTAAATAAAATAGATTTTGATATACCATTTTTCTATCGTTATACAGATGACTGCTTGAGTGCAGCACCAGAGGATAAAATGGATAATTTACTAAATGAATTCAATAACTTTCATCAAAAACTAAAATTCACATTAGAAATTGAAAAAAATAATCAAATTAATTTTCTGGACCTGGCCTTGCATAGAGAAAACAGCACTATAACTACTTCATGGTACACCAAAAACACCTGGTCGTCAAGATATCTAAATTTCAACTCTCATCATCCCCTGTCTCAAAAGAAATCAGTTGTTATCGGACTCGCTGATATAGCTATTAGATTATCCGATCCTATCAATAGACCTCAGGCCATTAAAAAAGCAAAAACAGCACTAACACTTAATTCATACCCACACCACCTTTTCGACAACACTTTCAAATCGCGACTGCATAAATTTTACAATAACAATAATAACAATGAAACCAACACGGTAAAGAAAAACTATATATCTCTCCCCTATATAATATATAAAAGGATTATCAGAACAAATAGCAAATCTTCTGTCTAAACATAATATTACGGTTGCTCATAAAGGTCATAATCTTTTATTTTTAGGAATTTTACAAGATTGAAAACAAAAACACCTCTATTGAAAAGATCGCATGTTGTATATGAAATTCCCTGCTCGAATTGTGATGGAGTTTATATTGGACAAACCAGTCAACTACTTAATTCAAGAATACGTTCCCACAAATATGGCAAAAAAAACTCAACCGCCCTCACAAAACATGAAAACGAAAAAAAAAACATAAATTTGATTTTGAACAAACCAAGATCCTAAAAAGTGAACCCAACAGGAAGAAGAGAGAGCTTCTAGAGTCTATACAAATTTAAAAAATGACGCAATAAATGATAAAAAAGATGTCAAAAATTTGAACAAAATATATTTTAACTTAATTTAAATACACATAAAAAGTCAATCTCAGAACGCTTATGATGTTAAAATAACTGATTGTTTAAACCATGGACGTATAAACACAGATGGACTCAGTTATTTACATAAAATTG